TGTGTGTGTGTGTGTGAGGGGGGGGGGGGGGTTGGGTTGGCGCGCCAAATAGAAGGTAAGTAAAAAGAATAAAAAGATCATTTTGGAGAAAGAAAGATTTGTTTATTTGTTCGAGTAAAGAGAAGCACACCGATACAATAATGGTCATTTAGTGCTGGAAAAAGGTTAGGCAGTTATACAGAAACAACAGAAGGAAAGTAAACAAGTATGACCTACCAGTGGTGCTCTCCAACCAACCGCAAGAGTTAAAAAGCTGGGGTAGATCTACATAAGGCGACAGACAGGCGGAAACATTAGAGGGAACACACATGTACTTCGCAGACACCGTAATAAGGCAAGGGGAAAGCAAGACTGACACACGGGAACGACATTAGATATGTACAAAAAACGCTGAAGATCTATACAAAAAACGTAACACAATATTGCGAGCGACGGACCGAGCAAGTTTTGATGACCTTGCGTGACACGGAATATGAACCGACTCGTCTCTCGGCTCTATCCCGCAGGGGACACAGATGACAGGAGGAAGATGAAATCGATTCACCCAGGGCGAGGGCGGGGGGGGGGGGGGTGACAACAGACAAGATACCAGTGACGAGCGAGGGCACGACAGTATACGTGCCTGTCGGTACAGCCTACTGACTTAATCGATGCAAACACAATTTCAGGGCTCCTCCCTGTCGGGTCTAATTTAAGATCGGGGTAAAGTTCTGCTGCGGATGCATAAGGTCGTCCCAAAAACGTTATTCGTTGTAAATGGGTGGATGGCATCAAAGACTCCCAAAACAACCACACATCCCGTCGGGGATTCGAACTAGGAAATCTGCTCCGTGGTCCTGCATGATACCAACTGAACTAACGTCGCGTCTGCAAATGAATCACGCTAGTATGTCTTGAGAACAAAATTTAAATGCAGTCCCACAGCCTGGGCGAGTTCAGATTTAATTTAGACGAGTGAACTCGATAGCGCCTATCCATTGCCAAAAACAACCTATACAAGTCTGAAAAAAGCAGACCACACTCGAGTGTTTACCACCCACCCTCCTACCAGATCTCAGACAACCAGACTCAAACTTGGAACCTCTGCATTTAGAGATAAGTGC